CAATTGAGTATAATAATATTATATAATCTCTATACTATATTATACTATATTATACTATATTATACTATATTATACTATATTATACTATATTATACTGCAGAGGGACTTGAAGAAAAAAGGCCGATAAGTTATGCTATAGTAAGCTGCCGAGGAAGAATCATGCCTTACAAATCCGTCATTTGAAAATCAGTATGCTTTCAAGCTAATCACAAACGTGAACCTAGAAGATATATCAACAGCGACTTGATATCCTGACTTTTCAGAAGATTTATATATCTCTATGTCGGTACTCTTTCCCACCTTCCTAATGTAGAAGAATAAGCATGGGGTAGGCCCAAATGACTCATAACGTATATGAACAATAGCTAGATGTAATATTTATAAGAAAGAATAAAAAATCATCAATCGGGCTTTCCCGAGTATTCCTAAGTACTACAATATATACCTCCCCACTTACCACCCCCAACAACCCCCTCAAAAATGTCACCCTCTCCCCCCGCAATCATCCTCGCAACCGAGCCAGACGCCCCCGCCCTCGCATCCCTCACAACCTCCTCCTTCGCCTCCTCCGACGCCGCATACCCTTTAATCTGGGGTTCCGCAGCCCCAGGGACCCACGACGCAGTAGCACTTAACGGTCTCTTTTCGCCCGTGCAGAAAGCAGATAGAGTTACGTTTAAAGCCGTGCTTGCGAGTGGTGAGATTGTGGGATTGGCAACGTGGAATATGCCAAAGGAAAGTATGTCTGCGGGAGAAGGGGGAGGGACGGGATTGCCGTTTATTGAGGGGGTGGATATGGGGTTGTGGAATGAGACGGCGATGTGTTTTAAAGGGTGTTATGAGCGGGATGTTGATGTGTTGAAAGATATATGTATGAATCCCGCGCCCCTGGCCTAATTTCCACCTCCTAGACTTTCTATCAAGGAGTGAGGGGCAGCTGAATGTTGAGCTGGAATTAACTGGACATCTTCCGTAGCACTCTCTTTGCTGTTCGTACATCCTGAGTATCAGCGCCATGGAATAGGCTCTTTGCTACTGGACTGGGGGCTGAAGAAGGCGGATGAGATGAAGGCGAAGATCTGGGTTGCCAGTACGCCGCAGGCAGTGAGCACGTATGAGAGGAATGGCTGGAGGGTTGTTGAGAGGTATGATGTTGTGCTGGAGAAGTATGGTGGGCAGGGGGGTTATAGTAGGGCTTGGATGGTTAGAGAAATACCTACGACGGCATGATGATGATGAGGTATGTTTATGTCTATGTTGGGATGAATTGGTGGTTTTGATATGTCAGAATGACTGAAATCAAAGCTATGTCATGAAATTATTTGGGAAAGCAATCGGTGTCAAATTGAGAAAAATCAGCACAAGTATTTCTCAAATAAGAAAAGCTCTATTACTTTTTATTATTATTTGCCCCTTTATACCTACCTACCAACCTATCTACCTCTTCTTCCTGACCCCAAAACTCCAGTGCCCCCTAGGATTCCCAATCAACTCCCTCATCTGCGCAACATCGCCCTCAGGATCCACAGTCCCTACAATCCCCAACACCACCGCCTTCTCAGCGTGCGACACCGCCATCTTCGCATCCCCGATGCCGTTGTACACCTGCGCTGCTAGCAAGTGTCCTGTTCCTAGAGCCGCGTGCAGATGTTCTTTTTCGTAGAGCGCTAGTAACTGCTCTGCCATTTCTGGGGTCGCTTGGGAGCTGGGGGTTAATATCGTGTTGGTGTCGTGGGTGTGGGGTGATGATGATGGGACTATGAGGGTGTTTTGGAGACTGAGGATTTGCGAGACATGCATGTCGGAGAGGTGGGAGTTGGGGGATGTGCAGAGACGGCAGGCGCAGGTGAAACCCCAGATCGAGGAGAAGAGTTCTTGGCGCTGGGAGCGGGGTTGGAGGAGGTTGATGTCTAGTGACTGTTAGATAAACATCGCTTGGTGATTGGAAAGGGGGTAGGACATGTGATGGTGATTTCTTCGCCTGGATGGATGGTTCGGGCAGCGTGGGTGGCATGGATTAGTGTTGAGGCGTTATGGTAATACATGGCACTAAAATGAATCTAATCAGTTGACTTCTTTTAGTTGGAGACACCATACAATACATACTTGGGACGGCAATCATGGTTCATGAGCTTTGCATTCATGAATTAGTTGTTGGTCATCTGATGTGGTGTGATGTGATGAGCAATCAAGTATAGTCAAACTTACAGCGGTCTCTGGGTATAAAAGAAAATGCGGGGCGCCTTCAAAGTCCCCAGCAAACGCATTTGTATTAATTCTTTCCATAACAGCATCTCCCGGAGAATGCGTCGCCATTCTCAAGAATATCTCTTGCGACGACTTGGGCAGTTGGTCGAATGTCTTCCGAAGGTATTTGTACCCCAGCTCGTAATCCGGGAAGAAAGCATCGCTCTGATAAACGCCCATTGGCGTATTAGCTAAAATCAAGTCTCCCCTGTGCAGAGTCCTAGTTGCAAACAGTCCGTTTCCTCGTCCGGGGACATTTCTCATCTCCCACGACGGGTCATCATCGAATCTGTTAACGTGGTTGTGCAGTTTCGGGTCTGTGAACGCGGGAAGATGTATAACTTTTTCGGCGATCGAGGGGGTTGTAAAGAATGAGATTCCACGCCCGTTTGCGAATCTCTCATTGGTATATACGCAATAGCTTTCATTTGTCCTTTTTTCTGTGAGGCATTGTGGTTCTCGCGACCACGGCTTGGGTTTTGGGATCCGGACAGCATGGTCGTGGTGGCTGCAACTTCCCGCCGAAAGATCCTCGCTGATTAATTGGGAATAATTAAGAAATGTATTGGTATTTGGAGCCAAACAAAGATTCCCATGGATTCCAAAATCGGGGCTAGCATTTGTGAGGTAGATGAGAGAGAGCAATGCGACGGGAAGCGAGAGGAACATCTTGAGAGTATGGGGGAAATGGAGCAGAATGCAAAGAAAATGGGAAGAAGGCGGGGTTTTCTATGGACCTGCGCCTCATTACCTTAACCATGATCGACCACTCGGTTGATGCGTTCCGTCTGATGTCTGTCAATAAAAGGGAGGTTCGGTTTGTTTCACAGCTGTCTGAAGTCTGCTTCACGGAATCCTGAGAACCCCTGACGATCAGCAAGTGAGGTACGAGTGCCACTTCCACTCACTATGTTTATGTTCTAGCGCCTCGCTTAAGGAGTACGCACGACCGTTGTACAACATAGCTTAGAATAGCCCAAAATACAACCAAAAAAACGAATCAAAACATCCTTCTTTGATGGTCTAACGGTCATGATTTCCGCTTGTCATTACAGACAATGCGCGGGAGATCGGGGTTCGACTGTAAGTTATCGCTACCTTTATAGCCATTATAGCTCGAAACTAATAAATGTATAGCCCCGTCAGAGAGCATTCTTATGAGTTCATGACCCTGAGCTAAGCTCAGTTCATATTTTTTGGAATTTTCTTTTTCACTCGGTGCGCTGTAGTTGGCTACATACGCCTGCCTCTTTAACGATGGCCATGTCTCAGCAAACTTGATGCCTGGACCTCAGATCCTTGCTATGCATGCAACGTTGCATGTAACGTTACATATGCCCTCTATTTAGGTAAATTAGCGTTGCGTCTGGTATTTGGTTCTGTTTTACGGTAATTAGTCGCTGGTATGACTTGGATCTCTTTTAACTTAGAACCTAATAGCCGGTCTTCCTCCTTAGATCGCTTCGCTCACAGTCGGGGAAAGCGAATGTCCCACGTCGCGGTACCATAATTCCCTTTTCGTAGGCAAAACACACCACAACTAGAACTGTGTTACTTATTCTTGAATATTTCCTCGAATATTTATTTATAAAGGTATAACATCCGCATTTCTCTGTATAGAGTCAAGTGAGCCAGCATTTGGCTCGTGGGCTTGTGCTTGTGTGAGGATGGGGAATTGATATTTCTGATCAAGTGATACTGATGCCTCTGATGGAGGTTGGTATAGAGTTTGTAAAATATCATGATCATGACTTGGTAAGTTATAACTACCGTTTGAATATATGAGAACTGTTTTGTTCTATACTTGCCACTTGCTATAGACGTTTTTGTTTGCCAAGGGGAAGAAAGTATGGATCCGTCGAGAGGGGAGGGGGTGACTGAAATACCCAACTATAATATTATATCTACAACCATAGAATATCATTTAAGTTTATGGACAAGGCTATAATAACATGATCCGTTTTTGAAAAACATCCATCGTTTAATAAACAGGCTTAATTATCCAGCGCTTCTTCTTCATTATTATCCTATCCCCTTATATCAATCAAACCCACTACCTATTCCATAGACCTCTACCCCACCAAAACAGCATACGCAATATCAACAGGCAGCTCAACCGGCTTCGTACACGCCTGCTTCAGAAAACAATTCCCCCCCAAATCCAGCACATTCCCCATATCGCCCCTCAACACCACCGCGTTGCACATCTTTTCCGTCGCATTCAGCACATTCATATTCTTGCACGCATGTACACATGCGTCAAGACTGTATGCCCAGATGGATATGAGATCCCTATCGGGGCAGTTTTGCCCGCATACTGTGCTGTATTTGAAGGTGCTGAGGGTCGGGATGTCCGTAGCGGTCGTCACAGGGACTGCGCCTACGCTGTTTGTGCCAGTGGCGGAGCAAGGCATGGCGATGCTCTGGTCGGTTGGGACTACTAAAAAGGCACCGGCACCGATTGCTGTGGGGGTCTGTGTGTATGTAACGATACCGCTACTTGAAGGTAATGGTGTCGGTGAGGTGGGTGTAGGAAGATTTGAATGCCTGCGTAACATTAATTAGCTATTCTATTCATTTCTTTCTCGCCTTCCTTGCGAAAGGAACGATGAAAATGAACTCGGAGAAGATGTTTTACATACTTCGATCTAGTAGAGCCTAAAACAGCCCCAATTGCAATTGCTGTAATGACGGCCAGCGTTAGCGACAATGCCAGAAAAAAGGTTAACTGCGACAGACGTCCGAACATAACGGGTCGCTTTGGCTCGTGGGCTTGCGATTTCTGATCGACTGATACTGATGCCTCTGGTGGAGGTTGGTATAGAGGGTGTAAACCATCATGATCATGATTTGGTACGACTACGGGAAGATGCTGTGGTATCGAGAGTTGTAATCCATCGTGCTCTTGTATAGCAGATGTAGCGTGGTACCTAGACATCGAACTTGTATGGCTTTTAGTACTGTATCTCTCAGACAGTACACATACACAGGAAGAGCTATCCACAGATGTTTGCGAGCCAGCAGGGTGTTTTTAGCAGTCCTTGAATACTGGAATTTGGAATGTCGGCCAGTTTTCGGCGATCCAGATTGCAACTAGGATAGCAAGAGGTCGATGTCAAGCACAGTGATAACTTCTCATGATAGATGATGCATCCAAAGGTTCCCAAAAACAAGAAGCCATCATTTCAAAATCTCAAGACTAAGGGGTTTCGAGACGTAGTACCAAGCAGGCCGCGGCTGAAAATAACTGCTGCCCTAGGTATTCAACTCGACTCGACTCGGGCGCTACATAGACAATAGAATGTATTCTGACCAACGACTAAAGATACGGGCCTGAGTGAAAGGAGCCATACCATGCTCTCCGTTCAGGAAAAAGTGCCCTAATAAGGCACCAAAACTCGCTTGTCTATTAGGACACTTTTTTCCTCCACGGAGGGCCATGCCATACAAATTACGATTCGCTTGCATAGCGCCCAGCTCCAAGCTTGTAATCTGATTGGACGATGGGATTCAGGTCTGGAAAAGCCGACCTGTGTCAAGCTGACGTGAGATATATACCTTGGAAGGCACTTAAGGCACTTGAAGAAAGGCACTGCCTGATGATCAATTGAGTAGCAAATGTTGTGCATTAAGATGAAAATAGAGGCTGTTTAATCACCCGGCTACTTTGGATGAGCAGTAATCCTTAGGTATAGAGAACGCGAAACGGCGGCCACATAAGACCAGACTAGACCACACTAGAGGAGAGCATTGAGTTACATGTGCCTGAAACCGTCTTCTAGAAATAGTGATTCTCCTTATCTCTCAGCCCAAGAGTAGGTGTGTGGTGCTCGAACAGTTGCAATGATTCCAAAGAAGAGGCTGAATAAGCAACGAGAGGGTATATTGGTATATTGACACTAGTAATAGCAAAGAAGAGAGAGAGAAATGATTGCTCAATTGGATGTTAAGCCTGAAAACTGCCTTCAGGTCCCTTTTTGTTGCATCTTTCGTGCAATTGGAACAGCCTTAAAGTGGAAAATCACTTCCACACACTTGTATACATACTGATACATCTTTATACATACTGCAGGCTCTAAACCTACCTATAAAACAACCTTCCCGTCCTTCATCGACCGTCTCGCAGGCTGCTCCTCCATAAACGCATCTCCCACCACCTCTTCCTCAAGCATCTCCCCCTCTCCCTCCATCCCTTCCCCAATACCAACCTCCACATCCTTCGCCAACTCAGCATCATACTCCCTAATAAAACTCTCCACAACCTCCTCACTAGCAAACGGCGCCACGCTATCCGCCGGCAGCGCAGGCAGTCCCAACGCCTCCCTCTGCTTCCTATAGCGCTCTTTGACCCTCTCCGTCTGCATAATCCGCCACCTCAACTTCCACCCCCCCATCCCCAGCTCCTTAATGCGCTGTGCCTTCTCCCCCAGCAAATACTCATCCAGCCCGCCGCATTTATCCACCGTGCGCAGCACCTGCGTCGTAATCCTAATACGGACAAACTGCTCCAGCGCCTCGCTCCACAGCCGCTTGAAATGCACGTTCGGGCGCCAGTACCGCCGGGTCTTGATCTCGTTCTTCTCCGATACCATGTTGCCGTACCGGATCTTGGCCGTGCCGTACAGCCCGAAGTTCGATTGCTTGTAGATGGCCGAGGGCCCGTAGGGGTAGGGGGGTACGGCGGCGTGCTCGAATTTTAGCCGCTGCTTGGTGGATTTTGCGAGCTGCGTGCAGGTGCTGCTGAAGCTGCGCAGGTGCGTGAGGGATGGGTGGGTTGGGGGGAGGAGAGGCATGGTGAGGTGAGGTGAGGTGAGGTGGAGGTGCGCGGGTTGCGATTTAATGGTGGAGTGGGATTGAGAGCAGAGCCCGAGTAGGACTGGGAATCAGGAGCTCAGATGGGCATTGAAGGGTCCAATATATTGGGAGAGATGTTTGGTACAGGGAGAGGTGAATGGTGTGTGGAGCTTGTTGATGTTGCTGTAGCTTAACTTTCGACATTTATTTTTTAGCGCAAACTAAGAGAGGATCCTCAGGCACAGGCCCAAGCGAAAGCCATGATTCTCATAGACAAACTTTATAGTGATATAGACATAAAAATAGGTATAGAGATAGATGTACAAAAAAGTAATAAGTAGTCATAGATATTCTAAACTTCTTATCAATTCTCTCAAAATCTGTATTTTTGGGGTTCTTCAGGTATTTATCAAAACGATGTTCAGTCGCCTCGCAGCCCAATGAACTGACAATTTCCCCCCTTAAGTACTAGACGCCTCCGAATAACCTTTCACAAAGATTTCATAAAGTAATAGGAGATCATTCTAAATATATGCTTCAATACAATAGCAAAGTTCTGCCTCCTTTGCTACATTCCCAAATCAGTCTGGAACAATGCAATCTTCGCAACATGGTAACCCCGTTAAGGAAAGCATCTGCTCGAAAAGACTTTATCCAAATAATCAAGCAAAGCACCACGCAGCTCATTTGAGCATCCTTTTGCGCCATGTCGTAATATTCGAAGGGTATCTTCTATGTCCTCCATCATAATTCTCCGGCATCTCATCTACCCTGAGGACTTTTCGTGTAAACAGAAGTTAAAACCCCGAGCTCCTTTTTTGAAAAGTGGTTGATGCGTACTGCATCATCGCCACTTCATTCTCACTCTCCTCTTTTAAAGCAAACCTAAGCACGCACTCCTCGACTTCATGAATCTAGCAGCTCATGCCCCATTGCTAAGGCAGCTCCACAGTTGGATGCACATCAACCTTCTTTCGCTTGATCTCGGATGTGCTTCCACCTCCACCTCCACTTCCACCAGACGTTGATTCCATCGCTCTCTGAGTCTGACTGGTTGTATAAGCAGCAGATTTACCTGAGAGAGCCGTCACAAAAGGAGGCGGGGGCAAAGGCGGGTTTTGGAGAAGGGTGCTCTGCAATTCCTTCGGCGGTTCAAACTCCCTCCCCGGTACTTCTGCCAGCGGCGTCCCCGGATCCGAGCTTCCATTCACACTCCAACTCGATTGTGTTGCGGGTGGGCTAGTAAGTCCCCTCCCATCAATCGGCACAATGAGAATCCTGAATCGTCGTTTCTTGGATTTGGTGCCATCCGGTCGCACTTCTTCTGGTTCATCGGGCAGCTGCAGCCAAGCTGAGAAGCCCTTCTGTGCCCAAGATAAGCCATTCCATTTTTGTAGGATTGTCCTGATGTCTCCCTGACCAACGAGTTCCTTTGAGACCTTCTTTTCGATCGTCTTGCGGTGAAGCGCTCGTCCGGTATAGTAGCCGACCCAGGGTGCAAAAACTAACGTGAATGGCGAGCTGAGAGTTCCAGCTGAAATGCCCGTCGTCCAAGCAATGTAGTCCTCCTTGAAAGTTATGTTTGCTGCATTCACAATCTCACTGCCAAATTGAAACCATTGATCGTGGGACACATTCAAGCTCTCCAAACGGTCGTCGTAAGGAAAGCCCGAGGAGATAGCATTAGTCTTGCTCTGGATTGCGAATTTTCTCCATGTCGAAGCTGTTTGCCCTCCTGGAAGAGGGGTGGTGTATGAAGGTGGTTGAGTGAAAGTTGGCCGCGAGGAGTGAGTGGTAGGTTCTCCTACAATGTCATTGGGTCTTATAACAGGGTCAGTAAACTTGAACCACCACCAATTTGAGGTTGATATGTGAGGACATACGAGTATGAGGCCTTTGGAGATACTGCTGATCCACTCTGGCGGGAAGTTGATCTCGGTCCAAAACCGTCTGCAATAAGAGCCATTACGAGGATTGGGTGATTTCCGTGACAAGTATTGATATATTGATTGGAATTTCAGGCTATCTTTTCATGCCATTTGGTCGTCCAAGTCGCGTTTTTCTTAAGAGGAAAGAAGAGAAATTTTGCCTATCGCCAACAAGCAGATTCCAAGATGAAATAATTGCGGCACAACTTGTAAGATCCTGGGGGATTTGGGCATGGATCAGGAAGTAGTCCAAACTTCAAAGCTACAGGCTCGCATACAGTAAGCTCCGTCCCCGTGTGGGCTTCGCGTCACCAAAAATAGTATACATGGTTTTATCCTGGCCTGGAGAGGAAGAGTCGAAGCGTGGAGATGATAATTCGAAGGTAATCCGAAGCAACTCGACATCAACACACACTACTTGTACACAGTGTATTTTCCGTTCAGCTTCTGCCACCATATTTTCTCGCCGCGTACTGTATTATACAAAGTGCACCGAAGGTATGGACTCTGTGAATATCCTGAAGCACAAGTCAGCAACAAGCTCTCTCTCATTCGCCAGTTCGTACCTGTACAAGGCCGGGCCGGTACAGTCAGACAGCTAACGCTATACCTACTTCCGCTACAGTATACGAGCTGCCATACTCCGTACAGTACGCAGGTATCTCTCAGAACAGTATGCGAAGCTCTCATCGCTAACCGATCTTCCTCCCTATCGTTTACTCCGTAGCCCTTACTTTTTACGGAGTAGTTAGACAGTCAGGGGTGGCACGGCTTGTTAAGTTGTTAGCATGCTGATTATCCGAATTCTTGCGGTATAAGGTTAACAGGAACGACGACGGGATCCAATGGGCGGTTCTGTGCCTTGCGCACCAGGCATCTACAAGGACAAGGTATTCATTCCTCACCAGGCTGCCAGATAATTCAGCCGCCTGCTAATACTTCTACTATTTATTGTAGCACGTTTCTCAGCCCCTAACCTACGTGTCGTCTCCCACTCCGCCTCCACCCTTACTGGATGACTAACCTAGTCATAGCCTATGCCGATTATCTGGTGGGCTGGGGATCGACATGGAGATCTTATCATAATTACCTGTTTAGGCCAAATTTATTGTTCATGTGTGTTTTGTATACCGGTACGGAGTACTGGGTGCTTACTGTATGCTAACCGTTCCAGCGAACTCTAAAGTCAACAAGCATTTTACAAGGCTGCATCTCAGACTTAGACAAGCAGCTATGATCGAGCCTCACATATTCCTCTATGCTGGGCAAAGGATGGACTTGGATGCTTGTAGAAACGGGGTGTTTGACAAGGAAAATCGCAATGCAATGCACCTCAACAGCTCCAAAGCTCACTTCACCTGGTAGCTGGTATACCTTCCTGGATCCCACAGTTGCGGTAAACAGAGACTGGTTTGAAAAGTTCCAAGCATCAAGGTAAATCTCGAAGATCCTACATTAGCGTCTAGGAGCTCCCCTCCCGCCATGCGGCGTAGGCCCCCTGTTAAACGAAGGATTTCCTAAAACGGCCATATTTAATTTTCTACGCTCACTCTGGGTCTTTGCTACCAATGTTGAAGACGCGCTATACCCAGTAATACGTATGCATTTTGTGTGGCTCTGCTAAGTAGCGACTCTGTGTATTATTTATTTTTATCTCTGTGCCTCACATAGCACTGCTATATAATCAAGTGAGTTTTCTCCAGCAGCATAGCTAATTTTCATCATTCCAATCATTTATCTCCTTCTCCTCTCCAATCCAGTCATCTCATCTATCTCTCTATCATCAAAGTCTTGTTTTACAATAATGTCTTCCACTATCCTCTCTACCACGGGTAGCAGTACCAGCACCGCAAGTGCATCTGCAACTTGCACCAGTGCTATTCCCGGCAAATACGGCCATGTCGACCCTTCGGCCTGTAATGCCATCTACTCATATTCACCATCTTTCGCTGCCGCGATTCTCTTCTCGGGGTTACTCTTAGCAGCGGTTATAATGCACATATTCCAAGCCGCAAAATTCAAAAAGGTGAGCGAGCGTTCTTTGAATATCCTTTTTACACTTGTGTTGGATTCTAATTGTGAGCGCCAGAACTTCTGTTGGGTCATCATCATGGGAACGATTTGGGAAATGGCCTCGTTTGTTCTTCGAGCTATATCTACACGGAAACAGCAAGACCAGAACTTTTACACGTATTCTTTCCTACTCGTCACTCTAGCTCCTATTTGTATGAAATCGCCCCCATCTAACCCCCCCCCCCCCTAAATATCTCGCTAACCGATTCATAGTGGTCAATGCCTTTGATTACATGCTCCTGGGCCGTATGGTGCACTGCTTTCTCCCATCGCAGAAAGTCTTCCACGTCCCCGCGCGGCGCTTCTCAGTATACTTCGTCTGGTTCGACGTGCTATCCTTTCTAGTCCAGCTCGTGGGAGCTCTAGTCCTCTCAAACACAGACGCGACGGCCAAGACAATCCAGCTAGGAATCCACATCTACATGGGCGGCATGGGTCTGCAGCTCTTCTTCATCATGATCTTCACGTCTCTAGCTATTGCGTTCCACCGCGAGATGAGGCAGATGGATAAGAGCGGCGTGGTTCTGAGACAGGGGTGGACGAAAATGGTATATGCGCTCTACGCCTCGCTTGCGTTGATAGCTGTAAGTTTTGCTTCTTTCTTCTTTTGCATCCTGTTTGGCTCAATCAATCAATCAATCAACATCATGGGAATGATTTGAGTTGCTAACTAACACGCAAACAGGTCCGAATCATCTACCGGCTCGCCGAATACGGCCCAGGCGTCTCCCTCAGCAACCCGCTCCCTACGCACGAAGCATTCTTCTACTGCCTCGACGCGCTCCCCATTTTCCTCGCCATCGCCATCATGAACGTAATCCACCCCGGCCACGTGCTCGTAGGCCCGGACTCCGGTTTCCCGAAGTTGTCGCGCGCGCAGAAGAAAGCAGTCAAGGCGGAGAAGAAGGCAGCGAAGAAGGCGAAGAAGGCGGGGGCTAAGCTTTTGGGAAGTGATTATGGCCAGGAGATAGATCTCGAGGATGGCCTACATCATGCGCATGCTGAGCCGCAGGGGACGGGACCGTATGCACCGGTTGAGCAGTATCATCAGGGGTATCAACCTTATGGTGCGCGTGTAGCGCGGACGGACTATTAGTTGATGGATTGGGACTTGCTTCTGAGAGGGCTTTGGATTTGATTTAGCGGTATTTAGAGGATCTGGAGTTTGGGTTGTACTGTTGTTGGGGGCCTAGAATTGTTGTACTTGAATAGCAGGGTGTTGGGAGTAATAAATATAATGGTTTCTTTTACGGATACTACAAGCTACAACCTTTTATGAACAGGCTTCCCGTTGGTAGCATGGAATTATTCAAACTCTATTGAAAGCATTGCTAACATGGCAATAACTAGAATACCTATTATAAAAACACGTTCCTGGAAGCCGTAGAAGAGCAGCAACGACGATGCCGGCTTGAAGTTTGAACTTCAAAGTTCAGAACCACTGTCTGTCACTGTGAGCTTGAATTGAACATGTTAGTATAAGATTAGTATAACGCCAGATGTACCGTATTCGAAAAGTGTAAGAGTGTAGGATAGGAAAGAGCAATTAGACATTGGATTTAAGAACCTTCCATAGCCTAGGAGGGGCAGTCTGAGGAGGGGTAACTTTTGAATCTCGGAGGACTGGGACGCGCGAACCAGCGTAGGTTACGTAGGTACTCGGAGGGCAAAGCAGACATGAATCTATACGTAAGAGAACTAAAATATAGTAAGCTATATTATAAGTGTTATAGTATCCTCGAAGCAAAAACTAAAAAAAGTTGGTTGATATGGTGGCAGCCGCAGTGATATATATGCGCGTCCACTACCGTCCGTATGCCGAGGCGCGTCCACCTCGATATTTATTTACTTTGCTTTTCCAGCCTTGCCATTCCAAACACAAGCACAACCACACCACAACTCCATCCAAGCACAAAAGTACCTAAGATGCTACCTCCAATTAACGATTCCATCCTGCAATCAAACCCCCAATTCGCAGCCCTACATACGCAACTCACAACCAACATTTTCAATCCCAACGGCTCGACAAAGCACCACCCAGCGCAGAAAGAACGCGATGCCGTCTCCTCAGTCTGTTACCCTGCCCTACCTCATCCACCATATTTCTACTATAAACTAACATCAGCACGAATGCAAGGCCCTTAAAACATCCCAAACCCGCGCCTTAAAGACATCAATCATCACCACCGCTCTCCAGAATCTCGACATCTCCCCTACCACCACTACCCCAGCTCCCTTGAATCCAAAACTCACGAAACGTCCTCCCGCCCCGCCATCCCAACTCCCCACCGAGCTCCTGGAGCTAATCCTCCTCCTCAGCTCCCGCCTCGCAAGCTCCAGTCCTCAAGCACAAACACAAGCACAAACCGCCCTCCTAGAATCAACCACCATCTGGCAATCGCTCCCCGTGCACCTCCCCCGCCTCGCCGCCCTGCTCTCCACTTACCTACACACCCAGTCCATCGCACTATCCCGGATCCTCTCACCCTCCACGAACGCCTCGTTCCTACACCGCATCATCCCATCCCTTGTCCCCAGCATCCTCGCCCTACAAACCACCATCGTATCCAAGAAAGCCCTCCTCCACACCTCCCGCGTCCGCATAGTAACCTCCACGCTCCAGCTACTGCGCGCCTACGAGCGCGCGACCGCTCTCACGGTGCAGGTGCTGGAAACCTGTAAACACGGCGCGTTGAGCCTGGAACGGCACTACGGGGTGCGGATGGGCTATTTAGCGGGCTTGGGGGAGAAGGTCAGATTGGAGGCGCTGGAGAAGAGGGGGAGGGGCGAGAGGGCCGTTTATAGTGATGCGGTGAG